GCATGGGACAGGCACACAACCAGTCCTCACTCAAATGCATGGGACAGGCACACAACCAGTCCTCACTCAAATGCATGGGACAGGCACACAACCAGTCCTCACTCAAATGCATGGGACAGGCACACAACCAGTCCTCACTCAAATGCATGGGTCAGGCACACAACCAGACCTCACTCAGCTGCACTGGACAGGCACACAACCAGTCCTCACTCAGCTGCACTGGACAGGCACACAACCAGTCCTCACTCAAATCCATGGAACATGCATACCGAGCTACAAGTTATCATACTTGCGGCAGATACACTTAGGCATGCATGCACTACGTCACTTGCATTATGTGTAACTCACATATGCATGTGTAGTATAGACTTACACACGCATGTGTAGTTTTATTTGCATCAGGTACACTTCCACATAAACAATCATGAACACATATACGTATGATTGATATGAAAACCATGTCACGCGCCAAAGTGCATCATTCATTTATCGCCTCAATTCTGCCGCTCGTATTTCCTTATCAGGCCGAGGTCATATGCACCGTCACTGAGCTGCTGACAGAAATAGTACCGATCATCTGCGCCAATCTGTATCTAAGGATAAATCATTTTCGGTTGGTCGAGGCTGTGCTCATCGATTGCGGTGTGAGTGCGACGGAGAAAACGGACACTTGGACTGCATGTCAGACGACTGTAGGTAAGTTGAATGTAGGTAAGAATGTAGGTAAGAAGAAGCATGTAGGTAAGAAGGATAATGTATGTAAGAAGCAAAATGTAGGTAGGAAGAAGAATGTAGGTAAGAAACATAATGTATGTAAGAAGAATGAGAAGAAGAAGAAGGAAAAGGAGAATAAACGCAATGGGGTATAAGGCATAGTATGTGCATAGACTGAGGGTGCTCTGGATATGTGCATCCAAATGTTCACGCAAGACACACATATAAATGCACACACGCACACGCACACACATGTATATATAAGTACACGCACACACATGTATATGTAAGTACACACACAGGCACATGTATATGCAAGTACACACAAACACATGTAAATGTATCTACACACACACACACGTATATGTATGTACACACACACACATGTATATGTAAGTACATACACACATGTATTCGTAAGTACACCTACATACATGTATATGTATATACACACACACACATGTACATTTCAGTACACACACACACACGTATATGTAAGTACACACACACACATGTATATGTAAGTACACACACACATATATATGACAGTACACACACACATGTATATATAATTGCACACACACACATGTATATGTAAGTACACTCACACACATGTATATGTAAGTACACTCACACACATGAATATGGATGTACACCCACACACATGTGTATGTATGTACACACACATGTATATATAAGTACACACGCACACATGTATATGTAAGTACACTCACACAGATGTATATCGATGTACACCCACACACATGTATATGTAAGTACACACACGCACAGACTCATGCCTATGTTAAGCGCTACTTCGGACTAATATATGTCATGGCACGAATTCTTACGATCGTATGCGTGTGTACGCGCAACAGCTTCAATTTGCGTGTTGTTTGTGTGCATGTACCTATGCTGCATCTGATACACAAATTGACGTTTCATGATGTTGGTCCAGGCGTAAGGTGTGAGAGATATGCGCATCACACGACTATGTTAGTGTGGCTGCTCATCTCCCAGTCCGCAATTGTACAATTGTAATGTCACATACATACCTTATATATATATATGTATGTGTGTGTGTTTGTGTGCTTACACACACAGAATCTATACGACCAATAGACGTGTCACAGTGTTTGTCCATGTTTTGTTGGTTAGAAGCGTGCTCATCACACGGTTGCGACCGTGCAGCTGGTTGTATCACACCTCGCACGCGTGCAAGTTTACAATCACACGCATACCTGTGTGTGCATTAGTTGTTGTATACATGTATGTTAATATATTTGTATGTTTGTGCACATATATGTACATATACATCTTACTATATAAATATGCACCTATATAGCTAGTGGACTAATCGGCCCTGTTTTTTTTGGTCCAGGTGCCAACAGTAAGAAGGATGCCCATCACACGGCTATGATAGTGCGCCTGATTATGTCCCAGCCCGTTCGACACCACACTGAAGTAGCCAGACGCCTCATAGCTCAGGTGTGGAATGCGTGTAACGTTACGAAAACGAACCACACATGGGGTGTATCGCCCTATCGGCTCTTTGTTTGGCTTTACGTATGTACGTCGGCTCACCTATGCACTTGTGTAGTGCAAATTGGTATATAAGTGTTTGTTGAACGACGTACCTATCTATTGATTTTTATAGATATTATA